TGTGTGTCGACGTATGCTTTTTATTCCTTGAGTCTTCTCTCGGTAGCTCGAAAATTGCCATGTCACATTTGGATTCCTATCTATAGTAAAATCTACCGATCGTATGTACAGCCTGCAAAAAAATACATTTAATTACACTTACTTAAATTCTTGAATATGTAAACTTAATTAAAATACAATTTTTAAAGCACTGAATTGTTAAAATAGCCTTAAAGCGGCATTTTGTCAACACTATGCACTGTCGCGTAATGTTTGTTGACAATGGAGGAGTGTGGTAAAAGGGATAACATAGTATGTGGAGGCCATTGTTGGCATTATTTTACAGCTCGATTTTTCATTTGTTTATATCCATACAAGACGAAAGCTAAGGAATTGTTGAAGCTTACAAACAATAAAGTAACTGAGATTTCATAATCATTTTTAGTACCGTTTGCTTGGTGATACAACACATCAATATAAATCTAAACCTAACTGTTCTTTAATTGATTCTATTTGTCCGGCTAGAGAAGGATTATGGGTTTCCACTCACTTGAAATATCCTTGCTCTCACGATCTGGCCGTTTCCTTAAGAGAATTGCAAAGAGGTGTCCACACTAAAAGGTACTTTAAAGTTCGGCTTACACTTTTTAGAAATAAAGCGCATTCTAAGGTCCTTTGGGTTCGAGGTATCTATTTAATCACTTACTACAAACATATTTATCGTAACGGAAATATATATCTGTGATCCTTGTTGCGTACAACGTAATCGCCAATTTTGATTTAATTTGCATGAGACAACTTACGGAGCTTGTTTTTTTCTACTTAATTGTTATAAAATATTTTCACAATAAACATTTTTGAAAACGATTTGCTGAAGTAATCTATCGATCTTTAGCATTAAATTCGGGCGTGGTTTGTGTTAAGGAGAAGTCTGCCGAGCCATTGCAGCTTTTCTCGTCAGATTTTTGCCATTTACTTAATGACATTGGATATGTTCGGGCGACTGGTCTTTATGAGAAGGCCAACAACTTTTTGTGGATCATGTGGGCACCAACAAGTTCAAGCAATCTATCAGATTTTTATGCAGTTAGTGAGTTAATTATGGGTTCAAAATTCGCCATATATACTCTCCCGGTTCTAAATGTTGACCTGTTTTTTTCTAGCTAAGCTTAAGCTCCTTAATTCGTACGTTTCTACTCATGCTAAGCTTCCAGCAGAGGAATGCTTTTTACGTACGTATTGATTTGTACATGTTTGCTCAAAGAAAAAGTTCCCATTTCCATTATATTTGCAATAGTTCCTGCGTTCTTACAGTCCCATTATAAATTGCTGTTTAAATTCAAGTACTTTCATCATTTAGCTTGGGAAAGGAGTAAGATCAATCGTCTTGCCTTCAGATGGATTGGAAATGCGCCACTTCAGCTCGATCTTGAACACCTTGCACGATTCATCGGTGATTTTAATGGTACTTTCTCTCAGCGCTTTATTATTTGAATTGTTAATTAGCGTAGTTTCATATCCGTGATATTCTTAATTTTTCATCCTTAAAGTGCTGCAATGATTGCTGTTGAATTTCACGGCATAACATTGCAAAGTTAAATTACACTTCGCTTCGCATTTGTCCTGATTGGGACTATACGCAGCTACTTTATATGTGTGGGTGCTTATCAGCAGTCAGAATTCAAAGCTATTACATGGAGTCTACTATTTTATTGCAGTGATTTCGCTAAAATAGAACATGGTTATAGGATTCTGGTGTATTGGTTCTCACTTCCCTTCCTACATTTCCTTTGATTTAGACAAGCTATTATTCTAAGTGCACTTTTGTATAGTCCCAGCAACTTAGCTCCTCGCTATAACTGTTTTTGACCTTGCAGTAATACTTTCTATCATCAAAGTCAGGATGAACACTAGGAAACCTTCGTCAGGCAATTGCTTTAACTACTTTCAACGCAATGTTTCATTTTTTTGGTCGTTTATAACTGAATACTCTCGCATTTAGTACGATTTCGTAAGCGCTGTCGTATAATACCGGAAAGCTGTATGGAAAATTTTCTTTGTAATTTTTGAGTTCAAATGGAAGACTTGGCCCAGCATTTGTTCGTTAGGACGTACTCCTTCGAACTCGAACGAAATCGCTTAACTCAAGAGTCCCTTTATTCTTATCTTTAGACTTGTTCCTTTACTCCGAGAAAATGAGGGTTTTCACTGACCCGATTGAAAGGAAGAAGATGGAAGCTCAAGGCAAATTTCTTGCTGGTCTTTCGGCTGCAATTCCCCAGAAATGCAACACAAAGCCCGCGAAATCGTACGTTATTCTATCACTGCCCAATCTAATAATTTTGTTCGCATAATAGAAATAGGTTACTCATTCATGAGACGGAACCAGCTGATCCATGTGTGCCCCTTCAGTGGGAGGATCTCCATAATCAATGGAATGTTTTCGTTCAGACGACACCAGATGGCTATCGGTCCCTCTATAATGTAAGCTGAAGTAGATTAACCCTCGCAGAGGATAAATGTTGACCAACCCTCTGATTTATTTGGTGTTCGATTACGTTGAGTCAGACATGATGTTGTAGACTTGAACCTTTAACCTTCAGGTGTACTTTGCATGGATGACTTGAACCATTACTTTCTTTGATATGTTCGAAAATGATCAGAAATACTGTTTGGTTTTGCTTGTTGAACCGATTTTTCTCTTGCAAACAGACGAAATTGGCTTCGACAAATCTCTCTGTCAATATTTTGTGGCAAAAATACAAGCCCATTTATAACAAGTCAACTTCTTTGAAATGCTTTTGTTTTGTTATTTCTTTCTTGTCTCCATTTCATCCTAAACCCGGTTTGTCAACATTTCGATGGAAAGTAATCGACGTTTTGCTTTTCATTTCGATCTTGACGTTGCTAGAAATGCTCGATTCACGAAACTATTTTTAACTCTCAGTGGATCTATCAACCTTGAAGACTTCATCTTTAATTAAAAGCTTCAGAGCTGCTTTTTATGGCCGTTTTCCACTCTTCGAAACTTATCTTGCTATAGGCGTATCGGATTTCACACCATTTTTTTTAGTTTTGGTCGTTACATGCATGCGAAAGCCAAGAATTGCTTTGTACGCAGTCCCTTACAATGACGGTTGACAGTATAGACTTTTGAAGGATTCGGCAATAGTGATAATGAAATCGGTTTCCCTTTATTGGCGTATCATTCAAAGTCAGTTTCACCGGTATACCATAAACTCGGACTAGCTTTACCTATCCGTTTGAACCTTGATGGATTTGTTCGAATTTCAGGAGAAGGTGTGTCGAGTGCGCAAGCGATCAGCAGCGGTAGAAGAGGGTTCTTTACAAGAGGGTTACTGCTACTCAAAGGCATACCCTAGATCTAAATTGAAACTAGGGCCCGACTCCATAAGGGACAGTTCATCGCCATTTATGCGCGGATCCTACCATCGACTAACAAGAGCTAAATTTAGAGCACTTGAATAGTAAGTTTTGAAGGAAATTGCTACCATATCAATTAAGCTAGATTGCATCCCCAGATCTATCTTTACGGACTTTATGATGGAATCGCTATAAGTTGCATTGTATTGATGAAGTCAAGCTCACTTTTGCTAGTCATTTTCCTGATAGTCTCTTTGACCGTCGTAGTTGCAGTTTCGCTTCAAATCCAAATACAGGTTCACTGCATATGTAGTCTTCCTAAAACAAATAAACCCAGCAGCTAACTAGTTTGCGTTTTATAGTTTAATAATTATATGGAATTCAAAAGTGTAATGCTTATTTTAAAAAAACCTGACTCTCCTTCTGAAGTTCTACAAAACCGTTTTACACACACATATCTTGTATGAAATTCTCCTCGTCTATTTAGTGTCAGGTGTTATTATCCAAAGGCAGAAGGCATAACATGCCCTATCTGCCCAGAACCCGAGGACTTGCGATATGAGAGCCTCGTCTGCCAGCTACCCAAACATAAGTATTCAACTAGATCAATGTATGTTCATAGCAGTCGCGTCTGCAACCCTCTGATTTCGCGGATTTTTCCCCGTTGGCTTCGATATGACCCTAGAGCCAAACCTCTGACCGTGGATTCGCCTGGGTCCTGCTCGCCATCACTGTCGAATCCGAACAGACGAGCCTTCGATACTAATCCCCACATTCCCTTTCATCCTCCCATACTTAAACTTTGCTCCGCTTATAATAAAACCCACACTCCTGCAGACGCAAGGAACACACGCGGCGCAAACACCAATGATACGTACAGGAAGCAGCAGCCTACGAGGCTCCCACGGATTTCATTTGATCGCCTCAAGCTAGCTTAAGCTGCAGCGAGCTTTGAAACATGAGTGTCCGCTCACCCATTTTAAATGACTACTCTCACTTCCGAGATTCTGTCAGAGTAAATACTCCGTAACACCACATTTCTTGAAGACGCAATTTATCAATATTTGGTGCTCTATGGTTTAGTCGAGTTCAAACAGACCATCTACGTTCGCCACTTGGTAGGGATAAAGGTCAACGCATTTCACTAGTTCGTTTTTTAGGATGGCCACATGCAAATTTCTATTGGGAAATGTAGTAATCGAATTCGTAGAAAATCAGAAACATTAATTACATGTGAGGATCCGATTTTTGTACAGCAGAGGGCGACACCCATTCAGAAATGCTTACCCAACGTTAGAAATTTAATCAGACTTGCTCACTACGAAGTAGTAAATAGAGCCGCTGAATTTAGCCATATGAATTTACTCTGCTTTTGCATTTGCGACTCGCCTAGTCAGTCGGCACCCGGGGTCATGTGTGTAAACATATGCCCGGGTGGCACATAAGGTCAAGGGGTCAAAGCCTCAACCCCATTAAGTTGCATTCAGTGAAGTTTGACCACAGCTAAATCGAAAAATAAATTATATAAGGTGATCGCATTTAATGGCAGTGCACAATTATGAAATACAAAGGAATTATAAAAATCGACATTAATAGAAAAAGCTCGCTGCAGAGTGGAAGAGATTGAACACACGAACTCAAACGTTGGAAGATTTAAGCTCATTGGGCGCATCCTTCACTGAAGATGATGGAGGTTCTTGGTGATCTTCATGATTAGCACTCTTTTCAGCACTTCCAGTAAGGGGTAGTTTCTTATCAATATCATGAGGATAATCAGGCAACTTGGGGTAAGGCGAGGTTACTGATGCCTTTTGAAATTCCTCCTCGTCTTGTGGGTACGGAGGTGAGTCCTCTGGTGGTGCCGTGGGCAATGGACGATGCTTTGAGGAAGCGTAACCACCAGGCTGCAGTTTCATGCTCATGAAGTCACCCTCACTACTTGGACTACTTGAGTAGGGGACGTTCTTCAGAGCGTGGTCGCTTTTTTGAGGTTCGCCATACTCATTGACTTTTTCCTTCTTTTGACCACGGAAATCCTTCCCATAAAACTGCTTTCTATAATTTCCGAAGAGGCAACAGACAATTTCCACTGTAATTAGGTCACCTGCATTCATCGACAACATTCTCAGTAGAAAATGACCATCTTGCCTAAGAAACTCATTGATGAAACGGTCGATCAGGTCCTTTAATTGCGAGTCGTCTCTATTGTAAACGTCTGCCATTTTCAAAAACCGTTTGACGAAATGCCTCTGACGGTACTTTGAGATTCTAAACAGCCAGAGGGGAATGCTAATGACAGTGAAAAGCATAACGCCAGCCAAAAAGAAGTAGAGAAAAATGTATATCTTTTCGTTCAGCATGTTAATTGGCAGAACGCATTGAGCAAAAAGATTGTTGCCGGCGGCCACGTGCTGTAGTGTATGTCGACATGCGCCGACACGTGGAAACACCTGTGTCTCCGTCCATAGCCTTCCCCTGCGAATATCATCCAGAAGTTTCCATCCAAAGAAAAGGTATCCTTCTTTCCGATCAAAGCGAAGAAATGTGTACATGAGATAGAGCTGCGAAATCCCAATACAAACGTAGAGAATTTTGATAAAGATGTAATAGTAGATGAGATTATTGCCGTGCCTTTTTCCGGGGAGACCCCGCAGCACCCTGGCTAAGGGACCGCCCGAACGGTGGTGATATTCACGACGGTTGAACAAGAGTAACTCCAAGCTCTTCGCCATATGGCGCACCGCCTTCTCGCGTTTTTCACCCTCATCTTTTGCAGCACTGTCGGCAGTTCTAATAAGACTCTGGAGATCTGTTCCAGTTCTGTTGTATGTGAATATACTCCAAATTATCCTTGGAACATAGTAAATTATGGCTTGGAGACCAAGAACCAACGGAACCCACTGATAATAATCTGCAGAAGGGAGAATAATACTTAGGCCGCTTGTTCTGCATTCAGTCATAATACCCATCCAACTAAAGGGTAGACGTCCATACCCAATAGATTCTTAACTTAAAGTGAAGAGTCTTTATTCGAGTTGTTTTGCTCTAACTTTGCTCTATGCTTGCAGTAAGATAGCGACTCGTCAAAATCAGAAAATTGGTCATGATAATCGCTCTTAACTAAACTGTCGAAATGGTATCGGTGACCATGTGGTCAACCCAACCAAAATGTTAAAAATAACGTCCACATGTAAACTACTGGTTCAGGCTATGAAACATAAAAGCTGAGGTCACAAAACGGCCCACTTCCAAAACGTCATGCGTGTTAGTGAACAGGCCGGACTAGTGTCTTAGTTAGTCATGCAGACGCCTGACTCATCGGCCACAGATGACGCGAAAGTAGAGCATTTACAAGGCGTAGCCACCTCCCAAATGTCACAATCGCCCAAATATCAACAGACAAAAAAACACAGGAAAGAGATACTCACTCATAATTCCGGGGTTCGTAGAACTCCATGCCTTGACATCGGTGGGTACAACACCAGTAGTGAGATTGATAGGGAAGGTGCCTTCAACCCAGCAGAGATTCGTTACATATGATTCTGCATTTCCACCACTTACCGTTGTTGGGAGGTAGCAGACCAATGGAGCCATAAAGTACTGACGAACTGTTACAAGAACCATACTGATCAAGAGGACAATAACGTTCCATTGGAAATTGGCCCGGTCCGCTAAGTCTTCAACTCCGACATATGTTGTTGCTGAAAATGATTGAATATACCCCAGGAACTCGGTTGCCACCATTTTGGGGACGGCGCTGCTAAAACGAAGACCGCAAAACCCATGTTTTATTCCCCAATATACTCGGATCTACTCTTTTTATTCATAGAGAACATTTGTGATTCACAAAGTTTGTCAACGTTTGAAAGTAAAAGTCATACAAAAAATAGGGACACTTTGAGCTTTAACCATTTCCAAACAATTTAGCTTGAAATATATGCCCAATAAGCTAGTGAAGTGAACTATAATTATCACGAACGGCACAAATAGATAATTTCAAACAATTGACAATTTAGCAGTGTGTTCTACAATTGTGCGCAAGTTTGTGGCCAAATCTTGCTTATCTTCAGAGCACCACTAGCTATGCTTGACCGTTAAGGTGCGTTCATTTCGGCGATTTCTGCCCACATTGTCGATGTTTCATCACCCAAAATAATGCTTCCAATTAGTAGTTACAGGTCCACGAACACTAATCGACACCAGATTCCCTGGACTATGAAGAGCATTGGCTATTGAGTCTTTCGCAAAGGTAAGATTCCTCTGTTAAGCCAAACAACATGAAAAGTTGAATGCGAGTCCACGACTGGCGAATCGAAACCAGATGTTCAAATCACGATGACTACTTCACACTCACCCCAAACTATATATGCTTATCCATGGTATAAGAAATAAATAAGGCTTGTACAGTCAGAAAACCCTAAAAAGAGTTAATTCTAGAACGCTCGTTAATCAAAGCTTGAACATACATCACTTCAAGCACTTACATATGAGTTGCAACATAAAACAGCATTATCATATTAAACATGAGAGTCAGTCTTAAAAACAAATACAAATACGGAAAGAGAACACGTAAACCGAACGTGACTCCGAGCCAACTCTGGTACGAATGGCTCTTAAGTCATACCATCATGCCGCACAGCTCTAATCTAACCCGGCAACCGCCTTTGGCTTCTGATTGGTTAACTTCAAATTATGACCTTACGCACGACTTTGATTGGTAGATACCACGGTAGATAAGTGTGCACGTGCGTCTACCCCCCCCCCCTACACCTGCAGTTAACCCGCATGGCCGGTGTACATAACCTAGGCTCACCTGCATTTAATATTGCGCTTCGGTAGCGAAGGTGTGGGTGTGTCAGTTTTAAAGGTCCTAGGTTTAAAATCGGCAGTTTTGGTATTTTCTGAACAAGTACACGAAATGTTCGCAACGTTTCTCTGCTGTAATCGTTTAGGAACCATCCATTGATCCAAATAGAACAAGTTAAGCAAAGTGTCGTTCTGAAAGTCCGTGGTTCAAAGTGTAAGTGCTTTAAAGGTAGAAGCTGTAAAATGGGAACTGGCTCGTTTTTACAAATCATTTATTTCTGAAGTCATGCACTCCAATGATAAATTGTGGAGAATACGGGAATATTCGAACCGTCGTCTCATTCTTGGGGTTGCGTATGCAACTGCTCAGCCCACCATACGATCCTCTTCATCTGTGCCAGTGTTGATTGACTATGAGATTAATCAAAACACACCAAATTTCTCATCAATCAAGCTTCTATAATGTTCAGATTAAGTTAACACTATCTGTTTTCAGTTATGACGTTTAAAGTTACAAGCACAAACTTGCAGTAGGATCTCCGCTGAGCAAGTTCTGTCTGGGATGAATGCGTCTGGACCGATATGCTAGTATTTTGATAGCAAAGCGATTCCAGTGCCTTGATTCCATCTCCCAGCGCTTGGTTATTGGTGGGTCAAGGTACTGAATCGATTTACCCATAAAACTGGGTCGTCGCAATCACGTAATCTGGTCTGGTCTGTTTATGCAACAGATCCGAGTGATGAGGAGTGATGGAGGATCCTAAAATTCTGCATTCTCTTATGGGCTCCGAGGAACTGGTGCTGATAGCGATGATCGAACGATCTTATCGGATATAAAGTCAGATTTTCCACTCCTGTGTTGAAACTTAACGGGACTAAAACGGTGCGGATGTTGAGGGTGAAAGAATGAGCCGTGAGCTCGTAAAGAGAGGTTAGGAAGATCATGATCCTTCTACACCTACTTAGTCCCATAATAAAAGTTTTGACTGGATCACCACTAGCCGTGTATTGTGGGTCGAGGTGGATAACTACTTTCATGAGTTGCTGCTCTGTGTGGATTATTGTCCCATTTAGGTAAGGGATGGGTTTTGTTGACTAAGCAAGCGTTTAACATCCAAGCCGTATGCATTTTAAATAGGACCCACTAGGCGGGGTTGGGAGTGTTTGTCACCACTTTCAATTGGTAACGCGGCCAGTTGGTGTCACCATGTCCGCACTGCACTCGTTATGCAGCCTTCATGCTTAAAAAATAAAATCTTACCAGAAAGAGCTTAACTGTGACTTTGACGTATAGTTTAGCACTGCACTGTTTTACCACTTATCGAAATGCTCTTTCACTTTGATTAGTGTTGGAAGGTTTTATTTGGTGAATCACATTTTGCGCCGTACCTTAAATCTATCAGAATCTGGTACCTATTCCTTTGGATGAAAGTGGTTGGCCGTAATCACACGTAGTTGATGGACATTACAGTGCATTACTAGTTATCGCTGTTTTGTAAGATCCATGCTGTGTCATCACTAGGATGCTTCAACAAAGGTACAGTTACAATTTCAAACCAATTCAGTTATTACGGATCAGTGGAATACTTCAGGTCAATTTGATGAAATTAACGGTCCATGAATAGTTAGGCGCACTCAGGATAAGGTATGATACTTTTGATTTGACACACTCTCAGAGCAAAACTTTTGATCATTGGATTTGCCTAAAGGGAAGTAGTAAGTGATCATTATCACTGTACTTGCCACATTTAAGCGATTCCTATCCACCTACCTTATGGGTTGGAAGAGATGATAATTTTCTGTTCAGTTACCAACACAAAGGAAGTTACTCACCTCATGCTACCTACTTGAACAAAATAACACGGGTAAACTCATGCGCGATGACACGCATTCAATGATCGCAAAAGATTTTTAAGCTAAATGAGTTTCTTGTAGCTAATTTCAAGGCTCAGACGGAAAGAGCAGGCCAGCTGCTCTGATCAGTAAATTCTTCTCGTTAGCTTTGTAGTCCACCGATTGGATGCCGGCCATTTAGTTTGAAAAGCTATTTCTTTGAATGAATTTGGAGTAGCAACCACTCAAGTAGTACAATAGACACAGCTTTACGTCTGCCTGCGTATGCATATACGTACGTGGAAGATAAATGAAGGTTTAACTTTCTAGCAGGGCATCCTTTGTGGATGCGCAGAAGGGATTGGCAACAGTGGATTAGCTTGGATGTCAGACCGTTAGCAAATTCAAGTGTTAAGCAAGCAAGTAAGTGATACACTTCAAAACAAAATCGCAAAAAACCTAGCCCTTGAAAAAACAACACTATTTGAAAAAAAAATCGATCAAGTACCATATTCTTAAAAAGAACTTGTGTATATGACAATTAAAAGCTTGGCTCATCGAAATGCAACCATCACACAGGTTATCCCCGAATTCTCGGTTTTTGTAAAAGGTCCTTTTGGATACCTCGCTTTAGTGCACCACATATGAGATAACTGGCCTTGGAGTCATGCCGATGGCCCCAAATGTTCCGCATAGTAGGTATACACCTTTTTACTTTAAAAAAGGACACTTTTTGCCTCGGCGAAGTCACAGCAAGCTCGGCTATTGGCGGTGAAGAGCAGACTCGGTATAAAAGGACATCAATCCCTTTTGTTGAAGCTCAACGCAGTTGAAAGCCATCGCAATGTCTTTAATTATCGCCAGTCCATTAGGTAGAGCTTCGTGCTATAAGGTCCTAGATACAGAGGCGAAAGAATCGCATCCTATCTATCGTTCTAGTTCACTGCACGATGCTCCAATAGATCTTCGATTGCAGTAAGTTAGGCATCAAATTAGTAATGTCCGAATCGATAAGCATAATTGCAACGACAAGGCTAAGTAGTAAAATTAGTGGGGCATTCGCATCAAGCAAATACAATACGATCGCTTATTTTGCAATTTGTATGCAATGCATATCGTGTTTGGATTGTCAATATAGGCGTGACTCAAGCTTTCGATTCTAAGGCGGCAATTGAGGAGGGTGTGGACTCGGTAACCATACTGCTACCTTTATATATCCCTATTCGAACGCGTAACTCTACATGCAATTCCAAATAAAGATGTCAAGGGAACTGGTTTACTGAGGCCATTGAGGAGGTGGATCCTAACACGAGGGAATCGGCCACATTGGCGATAGCAGAGAGGTTGTACTGGCCTCCTCAGCAACTTCAACCCGATCTGGAGAAACGTTCGGTCTGAGGACAACAATCTTATAGAGGGATTCATTTTGACCATTAACTGTGTTCTAAAACTGCTCCAAAACTGACGTCTAGCAGAGAAAATGGGGTCAAACACGATCATGGATGGAGAGGGATTCGGTGCTGTGTCAGCTGCAACACCTACATGCAGGCAGGAGTCTTTCCAGTTGGTTCACGGCGAGGTCGATCCGGTTCTTAATAGTTTGTCTATGGAGCACAAAAATGGGGTAGAGCCATATCCAAAAACAATTCTAAATCCCCCAATAGTGAGGAAACTAGAGAAACTCCCATCCGCGGTACTTACGCTCCCCTTGCACCGCTGAAGCAAGTCGTAAACGATGAACAGTAGAATAAAGGTCCTTGAAAGTGCCAGGTGCGGTTTTCTGTTGCCTCAAATATAGCACCACAGAGCTACCTACTACGTGGAAGAAGCTATTATGTTTGCCTAATACATGTATTTGAGGAGAAAAGGAGAGCGATTGTTTCCTGGCGTAGTTCAAAGGAACAAGCGAAAGAGGAGAAAAAAAGTTACGAACAGTTATACAAAATACTATATATATGGAATCTGTGGTTTAAAATATTGTAAAGCAGGTAAATTTCAATACGTTACTCATTATGTGTGTGGCGTTCCAAGACGCCCCACAGGGCAGGAGTAAGCATCTAGTAAGTCTCAATGCATGTATGGTAAAGGAAAAAGTACCGTGACCTGGCTTGGCCCGAAGGTCAGCCACCTGTAAGATGCCAAGACGAATACGAATTAAAACATTAGACGTACAGATGGTCACATAAACAAAGCATTATAGTGCCAACGATAATGTTAATCATACTGACTCAAGGGCTTCAAGCAGTTGAGTCAGAATAAATTTAATTCCCAAAAAAGTGCAGTTATTCACAATAATGTAGAAAATCTAAATGTGTTATTAGTTTGCAATTAAGTTATTCTACAATAAATCCTTAGTACTAAAAATAAACTCAACCACTGATGTGTTTCAATATTTCATTTTTGTACAGTTGGTGGAGAGCCTAATTGTCTGCCGCTGCTTCCTAGTGGTTGGTGAGATTTGTTTACTTCCTTTTCGTTGTGTTTGTGTAATTGTTTAGTTATCGTTGACTGCTCCGTCATTTATTTTACCCATGCTTATTTGTGCGCAATTGCGTTATACATTGTTATGAGACTTCTGTCGACTTCCATATGGCTGGGCAGTAAAATTGGTCTGTCCTATGAGGCTCTTTTAGCGGTGTTATATTTTTCTAATTTTACGTCTTATTTTGATCGTTTCTGATCGGATTTATGGATGTACATTTTGTGGTTACATTATGGTAATTCGTTGGTGCCTTGAACCTCATTTTCGGTGACTAAACCTCCTGTTCGAGTTACCTGCTTTTTTACGCCTACATTTTGATTGCTAATGTATGTGCGTATCTTATACACGTTATGATTTGTTGTATGCATTTGAACTCACTCACGTGCATAAGATTGCATAGCGAAAATATTTGCTTGGTTTGTTGTTGTGCACATGGACGTTTTAACAGTAATCTGGTGGTAGCGCTTTTACTTTTTGATCTTTATTAAAAAGTGCTGCAGCATACAATTTTTTCACTATTTGGCAAGTTGAATTAATTTGCGCTTTGCTTATAGTGTCAGTGAATGTAATTGCGTGGCTAATCTGTCCTTTAACTAACTTTAGCGACCTGCTCCCTTTTTTCCAAATGGTAACCAACGATTCTGGAGTCTGACGCCATGTATAGGCTCTGCTATATTTGATCTATGTAATTGATTTCCTTATAGAATTTTAAACATGTTCTCTTACCGAATGTATTTTCCACCTAGCCATTGACTGTATAAGCTATGTGCGCAGCAACAAGACGTCTACAGAAGGTACGTTCGTTACCTTTGAGATTACATTTCTTCCTCTGACTGTCAATTTGAATGTGCTAGGTTTGGACCTTTTAAATTTTACAAGTGTTTATCTAGCGTTTTCACAGATGGATAAGTAGGAATATTGGTACAGGGCTTGGCGGGCTGCGTTCTTCCTGGGAATAGGTTGACTTATGCAGTTCCATTTTTATGGGTTAAGTTTTGCACTTGTGGAATTCTATCTTTAACCTTGGTTCGTTGAAGGAGCTCGCCGGGATGAAGGAGCCACCTGTGAAGGATATCTTTAAAATGGACGACCCTGAAGATAATATTACTTCCTGGACCGGTCTCCTTTATCCTGCAAGCATAATTGCTTTCCATCGCAACTTTTGCCTATTTTCGGGCCATTTTGCTTTTACTTCGCCTTAAATCTATTTTTCATGCTTATAATAATATCCTTCTTGCGTAGGATTGAGTTTTCGCCTTATAATTTTTAGTTTTGAATTCATTTGCCTTGTTACCTCTTTTTTTACAACTTTTGCGTTCTAGTGCTCCTAAATGTATTGCAGGTTATTTTGACAGCTTGTAGAAAGTCAGCCTAAAATCTCTTGAGATTCTGTGTGTTAATAATGATCTTCGTTCGTGGTCTGAAGGAGTTTGACTTATAGTCTTTATTCTAGTTTTTTTTCTAATATACAATGTTTCACATCACTATAACATCGTAGTAGTTCCTACTCATGGCCCATTTTTGATACCCTTGTCTTAGGACAGTCCTCCATATGACAAGGGTGCCTTCAAAATTTCAATTAATTTTGGTGCAGAATATCCTATCAAACCACCGAAACTAATCTTTAAAACGCCTATATATCACCCCAACGTGGATGAAAAAGGGCAAATCTGCTTCCCCCTTATCGACCCCGGGAATTGGAAACCGGCAACAAAAATCGTCGATGGTGAGATTATGATGCTTCATAATTTACGTTCTCCCATTGCCTTAAGATTAGGGCGTGATAGGTTTTTTGGTATCTCGCAAATAGTGCTGCCAATAAATTTTGGCTGCTTTACTATAGGCGAGATTTGTAGGTACTTTTGTTACTATTCGATAAAACTCAAAGTTCACAACTAATCGTTTGGGATGTTTTTACGCAGTGATTTTTCGCTTTATAGTCTGACGTGCGATTCACCGGTGAACCATAAATAAAAGAAGTAGAGGTGACTAACGCTCTGTTAAAAGAACCTAAGTAATAACTATATTTATGGCGCAAGAGTACCTCAAAAGGCTTAAGAATTAAAAAACTATGGGTACAATGTATCCGGTTTTGAACCTTTTCTGTTTTTCGTGGTTCTTTGCTTCCACTAGGTTGCTGCGGGGTTAATGTGTAAAATGGATTTTTATCTGTTAGTGATTCAAGCCTTGCAAGCCTTGGTATCGAACCCTGAGATCGAGCATCCTCTTCGTGCGGATTTGGCAGAGGAGTATCAGAAGGATCGTGCAGCATTCAACAAGAAGGCTGCAGAGCACACGGCGCAATACGCACTCAAGCGCTGAATAAGTTAAAGAAGTAAAAATTACGGCTGTTTTGGTAACAATTTCCCTCCCTCCATACTTTTTTACTTTGTTTTGCCGCCTCCATATTTTATCTAGGGTCATCATGGAATAAATTATTATTGTTACCCCTCTGTAATTGGCTCTTGTTTGCATTCACTATTCTCTTAACTTAATTAAGTGTTCCTTTTGATTTATGTTCTTCAATCGTCTACAAGTCACATTCGTGACAAAGTTGTTAACGAAACACTGCACTGCCTATTGATGCGGTGGGTGATGTCTGTAGGTTCTTGTCATTGCTCTGGCGGGGGTTGCTACAGCTTTACCTCTGAACTGCCATTGTCAGTAGGAGGAATAGTACAGGCCTGCTACTTTCCTGATTGTCGAGTAGTTCCGATGACTTTTTGTGAGTTTTGAATTCACATTTCTACAAGATCAGGGTGTGGATTTTAGGGGGTGAATGTAGATGTTTACTTTGGTGGATTTTGGTGTTTTGCACTGTATTTCATCTACACAACTTTAGCGGTGAGCCCTACTTCGTGTAGCCTATCTGTGTCAATTAAAAGCTGCGGGAAATCTATCAGGTCAGCTTCTGTTACTCCGTCAATAAGCGGAATATCCTAGATAGGGCGTCAAGCTGGTAGTTGATTTGTGCAGCTGGTTTGTGGGTGTTCCATGTAGAATGGCACGTGGCAGATGTCGCGGTGGGTGCAATTGGAGGGCCGCCGAGGCCGTAGCTCAGATGAGGAGAGGAATATCACAATACTTTGTTTATGTGATTGTATATACGTCTAGTGGTTGCTTTAGTACTAGTCTTGCCATTGTGTGCGTGAGTTGGACTTTGGATTTGTTTTCTTCCGTTTGCAAAATACATGTGTCCAACACAACTTGATGTGTCTTCTGAATAGTAGAATGCCTTGCGACGCTAAGCACTCGATTAAAGGTGCATTTGGCAGCACTAACAACAGTACATGCGAAGTGGAACAAATGTGTATGTTTCTTCGCGGATGCAGGTTGGTACTAAAATCAGCCCGGGTCCAACCCAATAAATGTAAAATAAAAGACGTTTTGTGTTGTCATACTGAATAACTTCATAAACGTAATTCGTTTAAACCAATTTCACGAAGCATTGAAATCAGCATCGTTATTGGAAGTTCGTGTGCTCGCTCATTGCATCTTCCGCCTTTTTGGCTACATAACATGCCAAGATCATATGAGGATGAGTTGAAATTCTTGGAGAAATTGTCCCCATGTTCCTGGCTAATTAAAAAGGGCTTTGTTCCAAACATGAGGGTTCGTGCATTCTAAACCTTCATTTTAAATCTGATACTCATTCATATTCGCATTGTGCTATTCCGTCAGCGTAGTCTTTAGTTTTGCATTATGCGCACAAACGCTTCTCATTATTTTACTCTGACAACTCTGGCAGATATATCACTGCGTTGAATCTAGATACTCAAGTATATGTTTGACTGTCTCACTCAAGTTGATGAACTTGCGTCAATTTTGTACTGTTGCTCTTATCCTTGACTCTATGGTTTTTTGAGGTTGGACTCTCTGCTTCTACAGTTACTTTTTGGATTCTTTCCAGATAACTGCAGTTTTAATCTCTTGCCATGTTTTCTACTGTTAAGTTTTTACTTAGGTGTCTTCACGATTGTCTTTTCCATTAGTCACTTTCGCATTGCAGGTGGAAGGGGTGTTCTATGTAAACGATTTTCTGGGTCATCTTATGTTTGACGAATTGCGGCAGTTTACACAAAGTGGTGATTACGGCGGCTTCCTCCCCGGAATGAAACAAATTGCAAATGTCGCTGCGTTACCGGGAATAGTCCATGTGTGTCATTATCCAATCCTTAAACTCATTCTCTAAAACTCTTTTAAACTCATTCTTTTCCAGCGCTCTATTGGTCTTCCTGATGTGCATTCGGGCTACGGATTCGCCATAGGTATGCATTATGATGCAATCTGACTCCTTTTTATCTTCGTCATGAAGTACTGCGATTCGTTGATGCTCTTTTCGAATTGTCTGAACTTCTCTCCTTTTTCGCAAATTTGAGAGCATCAACCAAAATATTGACTGATATTACAGGAACTGTCTTTCGTAAACATTCTGTCATTTTGCCTTCACTACAGGCAATATGGCAGCATTCGATATGGCTGACCCAGAGGCCGTGGTGTCTCCAGGTGGAGTTGGCTTTGACATCAATTGCGGCGTGAGACTTATTCGAACCAACCTCACACTGAAGGATGTTCTACCCGTGAAGGAACAACTGACACAGGCTCTCTTCGACCACATTCCTGTTGGTGTCGGTTCGAAAGGTATCATTCCCATGAACGCTACGAATCTCGACGAAGCTCTTGAAATGGGAATGGACTGGTCCCTTCGACAAGGTTCTTTACTCTTCGCTCATTCTCTGGAAATTGCGATTATCAAGTCAATGAAGTAAAAATCTAGACGCTTGTCGATTGTAGAAAGCAATTGTTACATTTCATGTTTCATTTAAAAGTATGCATGGGGGTTATCATTTCTGTCTAACATAGATTCATTACCAGCCTCAAGTCCACTTTGCCTCTTATAGTGTTCGCCATAAATTCTCTTGCGATGTTTTTTGTGTTAGGATACGTTTGGGCAGATGATAAGGAGCACTGCGAGGAGTACGGTCGAATGCTCCAGGCCGATCCTAGTAAAGTGTCTGCACGTGCTAAAAAACGCGGTCTTCCCCAATTGGGCACACTGGGAGCTGGCAATCACTACGCCGAAATTCAAGTGGTCGAAGAAATATTTGATCGCCACGCTGCCTCCAAAATGGGTATCGACCAGCTCAACCAGGTCGTTCTCATGATTCACTGCGGCAGTCGAGGCATGGGCCACCAGGTGAGGCTTTGATTCTTTCATAATATCATTGCTGGGTCATAAGTCGTTTGGGTCTTGGATCTTAAATGCCATCCTCTGCTTTCTCGAGTGTTGCTTTTTGTCTGAAACCATAATTTGCTCAATGAACCATTTATTTTGACTGCAACTCGGGGAGTACCAGGAAGACTGTATTTTCTCAACATCTGTCAATGTCAGGCCTAGTTGGGTCTAGGGATATCAATTGGCAAGGTTTAAGTAGTATTTACGCTTCTTTCTCGCTTCTAATATATTTCTCTGAATATTTAAACATCTTGCCAATGGAGTTCAGTACACCACTAACAAGGCAATGCCTTTAAACTAGCGAAAAAGTGTGCTTTTAATTAAGTCCACTTTTGCATCTTTCGATTTATCATAATCCCGAATTCACTGGCGCATTTTGATGTGGAGATCGATTCAGTGACTGAAAAAATACGTCTATCTTCCTTTCGAGGTGGCAACGGATGCACTGCTGGAGATGGAACGAGCGATGAAGCGGGACAAGATAGAGGTTAATGACCGACAGCTGGCATGTGCAAGGATCAACTCACCCGAGGGCCAGGACTACCTTGCTGCTATGGCAGCGGCTGCCAACTACGCTTGGGTCAATCGCTCCTCTATGACCTTTCTCAGTCGTCAGGTTGGTTAGATGGTAGTTACAACTATGATCGTCTTTAAATAAACTGACATTATCAACGTCCTCAAACAGTCGGCTGTTACTGCGGTGGCTATGATCACATCATTAGACTCTGGATGTTAAGGATATAGATGATGAGAAGCACTGGAGTACCTGTGTTTACTAATTACTCCAGGCTTTTGCAAAAATCTTCAACTCCACTCCGGACGATTTGGATATGCATGTGATCTACGATGTATCTCACAACATAGCCAAGGTAGAGGAGCACTGGGTCAATGGAAAACCGACGCAACTTCTGGTTCATCGCAAAGGCTCAACGCGGGCATTTCCTCCCCACCACCCTCTAATTCCTGTCGACTATCAGGTAAGGGGTGTAGCAGTTTGTTTCTTCATGCTTTACCGTTTTTCATCTCAAGTCACTGTTGTCTATTGCTTAGGAGAAGTTTCTAACGGCGAAATATTGAAAGCTACAACTTTTAAAGTGATAACAATAAGTATGATTCGTTATTTTCGATCCACTTCGACTCTTTCTATGGAAATTGTATGCGTGGCACGTAGGCTCAAGTAATGCAGTTGTCACTGGTCGAAAACTTATTAAACTAGGCTCACCTGGGTCAATGGAATTAGCTTTAGAGTAGTTGTTTCCATTAGAAACATTAGGCCCTTGACAAATCGGTTTAACGTGAAGATATTTTGTAATGTTTCATACTCTGCACCATAGATTATACGCGTAGTGCAAAGGGACGGCTCTCGAAAAGACTGACGTATTAATCGTTAGTTAATCAACCAATACGGAATATTTAGCGTGCACGTATACCCACACAAATAGCAAAGAGTTTCCATGAAATGCATCTGGGAAGTTGACGCTTCTAATACGTTTGCTTAGTATTCGACCCATTGGTTCATTTCCTTCGATTTATAACAGACCATAAACGAGGTTGATGTGTTTCGCTATCTTGATTCTACCGCCACTATCCAAAACTGGGCAGGCTTCAATACTTTGTGATTTTGTCTCTTTCGGTACCAAACACGACGCTTGCGAAATGCAGGTGGATGTTGCTAATTCTATCTACTCTTCCTTTGACTGCTTATTCCTACTCCAAGGAATATCCGCGCAACATTATCGATGCGAACTTTTGGCCTTTGTGTTAGGTTGTCTAACTATTTATTGTAGAAAACTGTTTATGTTTTTTAACGTCAACGCAACGCTGCTCCTCTGAGTCGCACCGCGCCTCACGATCATGAATACTTTTTTCCAGTCCAGTTTGAATAGTGGGAATATTTATTTCATTGTTTCCGTTTAGCTCATTGGGCAGCCAGTTCTGATTGGCGGTACTATGGGAACTTGCAGCTATGTTCTCACCGGAACGGACAAGGCCATGACCGAAACTTTTGGCTCGACCTGTCACGGAGCTGTAAGCCCGGATTACCTTTCTTGATGCAGTGTCTATCGGTCTTTTATGTCTCAATAAGAAGGGTTTAGGATGACTTATAGACATGGCAGTCGCTAATTTATTGAGGTAATGTTTGTGACGTGCTTTAAGTTCAATCGTTGTTTGTGACTCACGATTGGATTACGAAATTTGTCAAGGAGCAATATTACATGCGGTGTGCATGTAAAAAGAGTTTTAGCATGTTTCGTACGGCAGTCTAGGCAACTGCAATGGTCTGTCACTAAGATATTTCGTATAATTTGCGTTCGTGACACGTTGACGCACATGGGATGTCACCCAGGTGAAGAACCTCACGTGTTAGCATCCAAAGCCTACCACACTTGATATGTAGTCTAATTTTAGTAAACCACTTATAAACTTACGATAAAATAGGCACTGGTATTTTAGGTAGATTATATTTGATTCATTTCAACTTCATTTTTTAATAAGCAGCATGGGCTACCTCTTACACTATTTGCAGCCCTGGGTGAGAAATGTACTTGCTGTGAAAACAAGTGTGTGGTGGACTCAACGAATGTGATCCACCAAACTGAATCACAACCAATATAGGTAAAACGTTTAATAATCATTCAAATATCTTTTAACGTCTGCTTAATTTTCGATCATTCAGGTTTGTACTAACAAGTAAAAGTAGCTGTGCAAGCTCTTCCATCACAGATGACAGATATTTTCATTTTGAATTACCGAATGAGCATTCAACTAAGTTATCTTTTTTTTGGTTAAAATTGTAGCGTGCGTCAAGATCTTTCGTAGTACTATCAAAATTAATGGATATAAAGGGTGACTTCTAGATTTTCCTTCCCTTATTATCAATCCCCTTTTCATACTCCAAACGATGGCAGATTAATTCGTCCAATTTGGCCTTGAAGTTTGTTTAGCCTGAGTTGTTGGTTGAGCTGCATCTGACAAATCCTTTTTTACTCTCCTAAAGTGTTTATTTTCAGTAATTTTGCCGAGATTTTCCTGCAAAAACCACTTCTTGTTAGATATTGACTAGCTGCTCTACTCCTTTTGTCCCTACCTTGGGTCATTCCTTTTTCATCCAGGGTAGAACAGAATCTTTTCAGGTGCTGCTTTCAAAATGCACTTCAAATCCCTAAAGTCTGTAACATGGGTAGAACATTTCCCCAAGCATGTTTAATTTTTTCATGGTAATAATGAACAACGATGAGTAAACTGTTCGTTGAATAAATTTAATCTTCGATTGAAATTGATGATTAGGCGTTTAACTGGCACAAAAACTCGTTTGGCGTCGGATAGCTATAAGGATAGCGAAGAAACCCATTGTCTGTTATCGGTGCGCACCATCCTCGACCCATAATTTCCCTTGGTTTTGGTTATCGAGTATATGTCTCTCTAAAGGGTCGTGCGCTATCCAGAGCAAAGTCAAGAAGGACTCTTGAATACTCTGATGTGCTGGAGAACCTTGCACAAAAGGGCATCTCCATACGCGTTGCCTCGCCAAAGCTGGTTATGGAAGAAGCTCCCGAGTCATACAAAAACGTCACTGATGTTGTAAATACTTGTAAGCATTACTTTCTTACACATTGAAATTCTGTCTCTATTTCGGATTTCCAATTTTCACGACTTATACAATTCCTGACTATGTGTGTCTATCAATGCCTACGTTTACACCAAACTGTACGTTTTAGCAGCGACTTTGAATTGCGACAATTCTTTATTCTTTCAATGGCGACAACGTTACAATTAAAACTTGCATTGCTTATTTCAATTATGCGACTGCCTTATAGTGTAGATGAACTTCAACAGCACTGTTGCTAACTTGCTTTTTTGCGCGATATTTTCCAACTATTGCATCAAAGCCTAAAAAATTTCGCAGATTACTATTTTTACTGGGTTTCTCACAATTTTAGGCCAAGAGGCAGGAATTAGTTCCAAAACGCTCAAATTGCGTCCAATCGGTGTGATCAAGGGCTGATATTTTGTCGTTTTTTGGTTTTGTTTCACACGAACCTTCGACTATGCGCACTACAGTTATTCGCCCTTTTTACATGTCCTTGTGTATGCGTTTGGAACAATAAAATTCTATTTTGAATTGATATTGGTGCGTTTTGGACTGCTTTGTGCATTTTAGATTTGCTGTAAATGCTTCTGCAGTCCTTCCTGCAATTGCGTTTTTGGCATGTAACATAGTCCTGCTGATCTATCCTGTTAGCAGCTGATAATCCCGATCAGTAATGGCCCGTTTGAATAATTCTTTAATGTTAAGTTTACTTCATGGCAAGTCATCTAAATTGTGCAGAAGGGATAATTTGGTTTCTCCGAGTTGGTGTAAAAACATCTTTGTGTAAGCTGCTACGCGTTGCGACATTTACGCTTAAAATATACAATCTTTACGGTTGATTCATCTGTAGAATATCAGAACCTGAATTACTGTTAACCTTGCAAAATTTGTGATCTGGAGACGCAAATAGCCGGCAGAACTCGAAAATGCCAATCGCTTTGTGCTAGTGCTTTGCTTGCTGCGAAGTCTTAGTCATTTGCCTTTAAGTGGAGATTCGCCTCATTTCATGATGCTTTGGTCAAGAAAAACAGCTTATATAGAACTTTGAAGAAAGATGTTGTTACATCATTTGACCATTCTTTACAGACCTTTTTTGTACTCCTATTTGGGGACCCTTATTTTCCCTAAACGGTGTCGGTTCCTCAACGTACTGTGTCAGTTTAAGATTGTAGGCCTTGGTACTTGCTTTCCTTAGAGGGAAATGCATCAACCTAAGTAAATAGTGCGATTTCTCACCTTTTGTATTGAACTGATGCGACTAATTCTGTTTGTACCAATTGTGTTGAGTAAATTTTGAAGTGGATCACGCAATTTTACTCCCATAACACCCAGTCTCTTTGTGTTTACATTTTTAACCAACAAGTTTCAGATAAGTGAGTAGGTTCGTACTCACTGATTTCAACCATTGGTCGACTAGACTACAATTTGAGCATCTATGATCTTGTGCTCAATATGCGGTTCCTGGTACTTGCTCTAGTGTCAGGAACTGGCGTTCAACCTTGGGATAACTTGTGTTGGATATAAGGTTGGCCTTATTGCACGCAAAGTACTTTACTACCGCCACGAATTGTGGATTATCACTTCGGTACGATGCAGAGTGAATTATCAAATAAGGTGCATGGATCAAAATTATTAGGCAGTGAAAGAAACAATTGGTCTCTATATCCATCCGATAAGCGGCTAAGTTTTCTGTTTTCATTCGGATTTTTACGCCAAGGGTGAAATTGTTGTGAAGTTGTTTCGGTGAATGGCGACTCAGAAGTTTTCATTCCCTTTCAAAATCCATTCCGCTTTAGTTTGCTGGATGTTTGCCTTCTATCGCTTCTGGTTCTTGCTAAAATTTTGTCCACTTTGCTACTCAGCTTTATGGCAATAGATCCCTTGAGCGACCAGGACCAGGAGGTGCTAGGACAAACTCCAGAGGATATTGACTCAACTCTGGGCTACCGCGACGAGTTGCTCACAGGTGACTGCGACGCTAGTAGCAATAAAGGTGGCCTCAACTTTGCTCCTCCCACGATGGACGGGGCTACACTTCTATTCAGCCGCTATGGTCTTCGAGACACACCGTTGCTTCGGGTAATCGACGTCATCTGGGTTCAGTAAGTGAAATTTTCACCCCTCGCTGCTCAGCTAAATTGTGTGTCGACTGATGTCAATCATCCGTGGTTGTTGTCACCTGAAATGTGGATGTGTGCATTTAAAGACCTTGGTTTATATTTATGTCTGACTAATTTGGGGGTTTGTGCTTTTGCCGTTTTCGGTCCTTGATAGCTCTTGCTTCTTTTTATTAAAGCTCTTGCAACTGACTACCATTTTATTTCAATTGAAAACAGTACGATATTGGAGGAGACATAATTTGTCCAAAAGTGTTGAAGTGCCAAAAGTTTGTGCGTTATTTTTCGCTCTAAATTAGACTTAACTTGAACTAAACATCCATTGCACCAAATTTAGAAATTTGAGAAGTAGCATTTGTCGTTCAACGTAGTACCACTTTGTTACATGGCAGCCGACAATTGTCGTGTTTTAAATGAAAAGTTACTATACGTAGTTAATTGATACGATAAGTAGAATTTTTCGACGACCTAAAATGTTGCAGATACAATTCGGAGTTGTGCAGCTTCAGTCCTCCATTAATTGGTCCCCTAGCGATCTTCCACACTTGTCGTGCCAGTTATGCTTTGAGCATTCTGACAGATAGGTCACCTCGCTGTTGCGTGCTGGTAATTAATTCGGAGGTAGGCAAAGGCCATTGGTGCCGTGTACGGATCCTTAAAATTCATGCGCATGCTGAGTGACTTTACTGTGACGCAGGGACTCAGATGAAAGTGATCTGGCCAATCTTAGCCGGGGTCTCAGGCGACTGCCTATAATTGCGGGATCCTTGGCGGGAACAACTGCTGCCTGTATGTGCGCGCCGGGAATTTTCAATGAATTTAAGAATAACAACCAACTTACTCTCTGGAGAACACGCGAGATGGCCAAAGTGGGTTTGCTTTGCATGGAACGAAGCATGATGTACGGATGTCTCCATATTACTTGCGACAGTTTCAAACACTGCACTTCTTACAACGATCCATGACTTATGCACTAATCTTCACAGTAATTTTCAAAGGTAGTCCTCTTTTTGTCCTTTAATAACTAGAACAGTTAGGTAAGGATTTCAGGTTTTATCGTGTCTTAACCTCGTCTTTTCACAAAATGCCTTGTATTTAGCCATATCTTAAGTGGTTACCCTAAGTAAAGGTTTAGTTGGCATTATCACCATTTTTACAATAGAACTGGTCCTTAAGCTGACTTTTAGCGTCTCGACGGTAATTCTC